CCACCACCGCCCGGCTGTGAATTTTGTTAATTAATTTTAATCCTGCTTTCTTTTTACTGTTGTACTTTTATTTCCACCCTTTCAGTTTTAACTGATTTTACTTAAGGTAGTATCCAGGACAAAATAGTAACTTTTTTTTTTTTTTTACCATGTCTTTGGTAAGAAATGCTTAACTATAGATATATTTGTAGTAATAGTAACCATTGTAAATTTTTAAGAGTCTAGGAGTGGTAGTTCATAACTGTAAATTAAGGAAGTAGAGGCTTGGACGGTCGTCATCCTCTAATACATGAGTTAGTTCTTACTAGTTAGTGGCCTAGCCCAAAGGCATGCCATGACTGAGCTGTACCAGTGACATCCTTTTATCCTGATATATGGACTGAGGAGTTAAAGGTGGAGGTTGCAGTCCATGCAAATACATTTATTATTACATAGTGTCAGCAGTAGTTGAGTTGGGAGCTGATTTTATTCACACTGTGGTAACTGAAATCTATGCATACTAGAATTGACCAAAGCAAAGAGTACCTAAACTACTGTTTAGTCTATGAATCATATAATAGTATTACACTATATATAATTATTATCTGTCTGTCTTTGATATTCATAGGAAGTTGGTATGCCAGCAGATTATGTCAACAAGCTTGCTAGAATGTTTCAGGACATAAAAGTATCTGAAGACTTGAACCAAGCTTTTAAGGAAATGCACAAAAATAATAAGTTGGCATTACCAGGTATCATTTATAATTACATTTAAGTATATATTTAAGCTTAAAAAAGAATCTTTGTCTTTTTGTTAACAGAAATCTTTCTTAAACAATATCTTTCACCAAATTTTAACTTGTTTCAAAATATTTATAATTTCTGATTTTCTTACCTGCAGCTGATTCAGTTAATATAAAGATTTTGAATGCTGGTGCTTGGTCTAGAAGCTCTGAGAAAGTCTTTGTCTCACTTCCTACTGAACTGGAGGATTTGATACCTGAAGTAGAAGAATTTTACAAAAAAAATCATAGTGGTAGAAAATTACATTGGCACCATCTCATGTCAAATGGAATTGTAAGTAGATGGGCTCTCAGTCTGGGTGTTAGTAGAAAGAGTTATTTAAGGGCTGGAGAGGTGCTTCAGTGGTTAGGAACTCTGCTTTTCCAGAGGATCTAGATTCAATTCCAGACAACCACATAGCAGCTCACCTATTTATAACTTCAATCCCAAAGGGATTTGATGCCCTCTTTTGGCCTTTATAGGTATTACACATATGTGGTGCATAGGCATATATGCAAGCAAAACACCCACACATAAAATAAAGTAAAAAAATAAACCCTAAGGTAAGAACAAGAATAGTGGTTCTGCCCCTACTTTTCAGGACCGTAGTTTTCATCAGTGTGATGCTTACCAAACAAGTGTTGATTGTTGAATCCAGTCTGATCCCCAAGTCTGTCTTCCTGTAAAAATGAAGGAAAAGAAGGAGAACCTTCTTTTCAGGCAACTGATAAACATTTTCCTCACCATTTCTACTTCAAACACATTGGACAGAATGAAATCACATGACCACATTGAGCTGCAGGGAAATCTGTGAGTGCATTGTATGTGTGCGAAGATTATTACCTATGAGCAAGGAAGAATGGGTCTTAGAAAAAAAAAATTAGCAATCTGATTTTTCCCGTAATCTTCTGTGCATTTACTAGGTATTGGAGTAAACTTGATGAACAAACGAGTTACTTATTGAAGCCCATTGTCTATTACAGATAACGTTTAAAAATGAAGTAGGCCAGTATGACTTGGAAGTAACCACGTTTCAGTTGGCTGTGTTGTTTGCATGGAACCAAAGGCCTAGAGAAAAAATCAGCTTTGAAAACCTAAAACTTGCAACGGAACTCCCTGATGCTGAACTTAGAAGGACTTTATGGGTTTGTTTTATTTTCTGTTTGGCTTTGTTTTTAAAATAGTGTTGTGTCACATAGCGGGAATACGTGGATGGCTTCTAACATTGGATTTTTGGTGCTGAGAGTTAGATCCAGGGCCTGTACACACATGTTAGGCATACATTCTACCACTGCATTACATAACTAAGCCACTGTAAATTTGTTTACACTCCAAATAAGATTTTTAATGTAAAAATGCACAATATTGAGGAATTTATAAAAAACAATATGAAAAGAGGCTAATTCCCAAAGTGGAAAAGGAAAGAGGAAGAGAAGAGGGAAAAACTGAGTTCCTGTTAAATGTGCTTAAGGAGTCCCAAAGTACATTCAAAGAGTTTTATTATCAAATAAATGAGTTAGTCCTTCTTAGTTTATAAACTGTGCTAATGATATTCTTGATTATAACTGCATTTAATTCTGGCTCTGTAATATGAACTCCATAATAAACTGTTTCCAGGGGACTAAACTGCCTACATATTACTGGCAGGTAGTTTACTATAGTACTGTATCTCAGCCCTAATTGTTTGTGTCACTCTATGTAGTAAGAGAGCATTTATTGCTCTCTCTGAGCCAGCTCTTTCCTTTCCCCTCTTGGTTATGCATTTACATATCACATGCTTGGAGGTACTACATAAAAGTTTGGATTGTGATTTTGTACAGTTGTACATATGTAATTTACTGCATGAGTTGGGGTATAGATTGTTTAGAAGTCATTCTTGCCTATATGGGAGAGTTGAACCAATCACTCCATATAACTTAGTGTGGTAATTGTTTTTTTCTTCTTCATAGTCTTTAGTAGCTTTTCCCAAGCTCAAACGACAAGTTTTGTTGTATGACCCTCAAGTCAACTCACCCAAAGATTTTACAGAAGGCACTCTCTTCTCAGTGAACCAGGACTTCAGTTTAATGTAAGTAAGCTCATGCTGCTTAATTTAAAATGGAAAGTACTATGTTCAATTTCAGTGCTTTGTTTTTATTAAAGTGATGATTTGTCTTATGTGATGTTAAAAACAGTAAGTGAATAGCATCACTAAATCTGTCGTCATTTCAGTTTTTAAAAAAATAAAGACCAAAAGCTAGAGGCACTAGATAAAACAGCTTTATTTAGGCAGAGCTGTTTATCTGAAGACTCAATAAAATAATGCTATATAAAACTCTTTTGCTTTAATTATTGTTTTCATGGCAGTGTAATTTATTCTGAGGAATGCAGTTACTGGTCAGCAGAGGTTATATCTTGTTTTGAGGAATCACATTTTTTTTAAATATGTTTGTTTGAAACAGGCAGCATGGCCCTAAATATGAACTCTAAATATGAAACCAGTCAGGCTTCTCCTTGTGCTTGAGCGTCTCTCACTGGGGTTTTACGTGACTCTTAAACAGTTCTGAGTGTTAAGAATACTTCTAAAGCTTCAGACACTGTGCTGTAATAAATGTTTAACACTTTCATATTGTAGAAAAAATGCAAAAGTACAGAAAAGGGGAAAAATCAACTTGATCGGACGCTTGCAGCTCACTACAGAACGAATGAGAGAAGAAGAAAATGAAGGGATAGTTCAACTAAGAATATTAAGAACCCAGGTTTGTATAGGGAGAAAGAATGTCTAAATTTTTTAAAGCTTCTTTAAAAAATACCAAACCTTCAAAGTTGGACATAGTGACATATTCTTTTAACCTCAACCCTCTGGAATTAGAGGCACACAGATCTCTATGAGTTTAAAGCCTAGTCTATAGAGGATTTGGGAACAGGAGAGACCCTGCCTCCATAAAAACCAAACAAAACCCTTCAAACAGTCAGTTAATAAAAACCATGACAGTTATTTAATTGTAAATAAGAGCTAAGGCTCATTTTATTAGTAGTTTGTAATAGAAGTGTTTTTATGGATTGGAGGTTTCTAACAAACTCTGATGCATTCTTTGACTAAAACCTCGGTTTTTACTTATGTCTCTTTTTAATACCCAACTGAATAAATGTATCTCAGCAATGTAGAATTCAAGTATTTAAAGTTGTATTTAATTTTGAAATATAATGTGCCCATAGGAAACTTGTTTTATTTAGAACAAAGAAGCATTATCTGATATATTTTCCTTTGACAAATGTGTTAAAATTAGGATTATGATGGCTTCTGAACATGATACAAATATTTATTACTAGAAAGATAAGATGGCTCAGTTTGTAAAGATATTTGACACCAAGCTGACAACTTGCCCTGTCCTGGGGACCCACATGGTTGGAGGAGAGAACAGACTCCTTAAACAGAGTTGTTCTTTTGTTTCCACTACATGAAAATAAATACGAAAAAATAGAGCTGGTGACAGGGCTCAATAGGTAATGTAATTGACAACCTGATTTCAACCAGGAATTTACTTGATATAAGGAAGGTCTTCTGACCTTTGCATGTGTAGGAGAATGGCACTATCCCGTGGGCACAAATGCGTGTGTACACATACAAACAAGTTTTTAAAACTTTTAATGTATTGCAAACTGATGATTATTTTAATTTAACAGGACTGCTTTTTTTATTCTACTTTTACAGTTTTTATTTAATATTATTCAAAATTCTGGCCAGTGCAATACATTTTGAAGCATAAAGAAAGATTAAAAGTTTTCATGGTCCTGGATGGACAGACTTTCACATTTCACAGAAGCCCGATGACCTGAGTTTGATCCCTGATCCCAGGAAGCCACAGAGTGAGTTCCAGGACTGTCAGGGCTACACAAAGAAACAAACCCTGCCTCAAAAATAATGCCTATCTAAATTCTCTTGAATACTCAAAACATTAGTAACATTTTTTTGCTAAATGATTAATAAAAGTAGTTGTCTTCTTGTGTCAAAGCAATTGCAGAAGCAATGGTGCTAGCAATTAATGTAATCAAAGCTGCTATGCCAACAATAATCAAGCCCACTACCCTCTTGCTTCTGCTTAAAGCCTGACTCACTTCTTCCAGTACTTGTAAGCTTTTTTCAGAATACCAAGGTCCTGTCATACTCACAGGCAATAAAACAAAAGCTGGTTGATAGACTACCATAACAGACATGCCAGTTTTCAATACATTGACACAATTAAAAATTGTACAATCGCTGGGCAGTGGTGGCGCACGACTTTAATCCCAGCGCTTGGGAGGCAGAGGCAGGTGGATTTCTGAGTTTGAGGCCAGCCTGGTCTACAGAGCGAGTTCCAGGACAGCCAGGGCTATACAGAGAAACCCTGTCTTGAAAAACCAAAAAAATAAAATAAAATAAAATAAAATAAAATTGTACAATCAGTAGAACTCACATTAAATACCGTGGAAGGAACAAAAGTAATTTTAACATGACCAATTAATAAAAGATTTGGAGCCTTAATACATGCACTAACATTTGTTCAGAAGTCCAGATCCTACCCCAATTTTATCTATTGCTAATGTAACTTCATACAAGGCAGTGGTCAATTTTCAAATATATCTTTGAAAATGTCCAGAACCAGTCTTCCAAATGAAGACTGTTATTTCCAATATTGGATTGATTTCTAGACCAGTCCATGATTGAATCAGAATAACTGTTTCCATTAAAGGAAATAGAAGAGTCATTATAACTTCTTTTTTTGAATCTCTGTCCCACAAAGTCTAAAAGTTTGAAGCAAGGCAGCTTGTTCAATCTGGGATATAGGTAAGCAAAGGTGGGTCAGGAACATATGTCCAATACAGCTTCCCAGTCACCATTCTCAGGGCTCTCAGCAAGCTCACAGGTCAGCATCATTCTTGGTCCCAGCATCAGCATGTCTCACCAATCACTCTGGTAGCCAGCCACCATGCTCCTTCAGCGTCCTGTGGGCCGTGGGGAAAGACAAACATGCCCTCTTCCCCATATTAAATACCTGATTGGGATCATGCTATATGCCAGTAAGTGGGTCCTTCCCTTTCACCCAGGCATAAGTATGCCTAGTTGTAGGATGCCATTAGACACTCAGCAGAGACTTCCTTGGCATCCAGGTTTTTTTTTAATTTTAAAATAAAAAGAACATAATTTAAATAAATTTGTGGTGTGAATGGATATTACTCCCCCTTTTTTATTTTATAAAGATACTGTTTTAAAGTTCCACAATACCTGTTTCTTAATACCTTGTCCTTGAGGATTATAAGGAATCTCAGTAATATTAAAATTGTTGACAAAACATCTCCAATGCTTGACTGCAATAGCCAGTTCCATTATCTGTTTTAATCTGATTTGGAACACCAAGCAAAGAAAAATAATGTAGGCAATGACTAATTACATTTTTAGTTGCTTTTCCTGTTAAAGCAGTTGCAACTAGAAAGCCTGAAAAGGTGTCAATAGTCACATGTACATATTTTAATTTTCTAAAATCAGAAATATGCTTAACATCCATTTGCCATAATTGATTAGGTACAAGTCCTCAAGGACTAACATCATTATGTGGTACAGGTAGAAACTGAGGACATTCAGGACAAGTCTTTACAATTTGGTGTGCACATTCTCTAGAAATACTAAACTGTTGTCTCAGGGTATTACTGTTTTGATGATGTAAAGAATGAGAGGCTAACTGTTCCTGTGTAAGGCCTATAATCTGCCTGGTGTACAAACCTGCTGTGGCATTGCCCTCACTAAAGGGTCCAGGCAATACAGTAGGACTTCTTAAATGCCTTACAAAATAAGGAACTGTACATTCTCTTAAATGAAGTTGTATTTGCATAAGTAATTGCAAAATTTGAGAATTAGCAGTATCTAAAAAAAGGAACAGTCTCAAGTAATTGTAAACCATTGGCTATCAGTATACAAATTAAAAGCTTGATTTTTCAACATTTCAAAAATAGTGGCTACAGCATGTAGTTCTATTATTTATGCTGAAGTAGGGGGAAACTTAAGAGAATGAACATGTGATCCAATCACATATGCTGCCTTCCAATTAGATGAGCCATCTGTAAATACAGTGACCACATTTTCTATAAGCTGCACCTGTAAATTTACAGGAAATACAAAAAAGCATGCATAGAGGAAAATTGTAACTACTTGTCTTTTGGATAATGATTATCAATTTTTCCTGAAAAGTTTACACATGCAATAGACTACATATCAGTATTCTGCAATAACCAATTTAATTGCTGTTTGGAATAAATAAAAAATTCATCAGATTTTCCCAAAATGTTTTCTTGATTCTATTCTATAATTCTGTATTAACACAGCAATAGCTTTATAATAGGGTGTTAAAACTTTACTTGGGGACAGCCAGGGCTACACAGAGAAACCCTGTCTTAAAAAACAAACAAACAAACAAAAAACCTTTACTTGGAGATGAAGATGAATCCACATTAATGGTTCCTTTTCCCAAAGAACTGCTGTCGGCACATGAGTAGCAATAACACAAACAACCAGCAATTGGTCAGAGTCTACACAGTGTTATCTCTTGATGGCTAATAGCTTCCTCTACTTTCTGCTAAGCTATTTGTCCCTCATCAGTTAATTGTCGAGGGGAATTCGGATTTGCATGCCCTTTGAGAATATCAAACATATGTTTAAGTTCTCATGTTAAGCTTAAGATAAGGTCAACTAACATCTCATAACAATTTTTGAAAATCATTTAAAGCAAATTATCTTTTATTTGAATTTTCTGTGCTACAGTTTGTTTAGGATATAACTGATGTTACAAATATTGAAAAAGATATTGCCTTTGAATCTTTTTTTTTTTTTGGTTTTTCAGGACAAGGTTTTCTCTGTGTAGCTCTGGCTGTCCTGGAACTCACTCTGTAGACTAGGCTAGCCTTGAACTCTCGAACTCAGAAATACGCCTTCCTCTGCCTCCCAAGCACTGGGATTAAAGGCGTGCGCCGCCACCACCGCCCGGCACCTTTGAATCTTTAATGGAGCTATGACTACTCCAAAATTTTAAAGCTCGTTGTATCAGAGCAAAGGCTCCTAGTAAAACTCCTTCAGAGGAATCAGCTAATAAAATATCCGTATAATGAATAATATACACTGAAAGATACACTGAAAGTCCTAACTTCTTGTATAGAAGCAACAACAAATTTTTGACTTAAAGCAGGGCTATCAGCCATTCCTTGAGGCAAAACTTTCCAATGATACCGTTTTATGGGCTCTCAAATTACAAGCAGGCACACCAAATGCAAACCTTTTACAATCATCAGGATGCAAAAGAATAGTATAGAAACAATCCTCCAGGGCTGGAGAGATGGCTCAGTGGTTAAGAGCACTGACTTGCTCTTCCAGAGGTCCTCAGTTCAATTCCCGGCAACCACATGGTGGCTCACAACCATCTGTAATGGGATCTGATGTCCTCTTCTGGTGTTTCTGAAGACAACTATGGTGTACTCAAATAAATTTTTGTGTAAGGCCTAAAAAAAAAAAAAAGAAAGAAAGAAAAAAGACAATACTCCAAATCTGTAATAGCTCTATATGCATTTCCTGGAATGGCAGCTAGAGAGGCAAGCCAGTCTGCAATGCCTCCACAAGTTCCATAGCCTCATTAATCTTTCGCAAACCCTGCAGCAATCTCTACCTGCTTGATTTTTTTCTTAATTACGAATATGTGTGAGTTAAAATTCCTGAACCTGTGATCTAACCGCAAACTCAGCTTATGGAACAAGGCAGCTTAACTATAATTTTTAAGATTTCCTTGCAACACCAAAGCACAACCATAACTTTGGAAAGTAAAACTCAACCTCCAAACAATCCAGTCTCTCTAAAAACACCAGGTGAATCACACCCCCATGCTGCCAGTTTCTGCACACGAATGCACGATGGTACAGCCTCCAATACCTCATCAAAGAGACACTGCCCTAATCCTATCTTTTATAAGTCTGGTTTCTAGGATAAGAATTACATAAAATATTACCCAATTTAGACATATCTTTAGAGACCTAGTTCCCTGGATTGGTTCATGCCACATGTTTTCTGAATGACTCCAACCCTGAGTTACCAGTTTTAAGCCAACTTTCTGTTACTAATGTTACAAATTTTTAGTCATACTCAATAACTTATAAGCCAATAATCTATAACCAAGACATGCAGAACCAGTCAAAACCAGTCAAAACCAAAAATGAAGTGGCTACACACATCTTACATATTTAAACTGGGCAAATTCTTAACTTTCTAGCTATAATTTCAAGAGAGGAACACCTTGTCACCTGCTGAACCCAATAATCACAGTCACAGAGATTTTTCTAGGAGAAACAACTCTCAGCTCCTTACCTGAGAAGCTGCTAGCCCCTTAAAGAGCAGCTTGTGCAGACAATCAGCAGGGCTTCTCCAGCTCAACTGAACTCAGCTTAACTCCCAGCTACTATGCAGGGCTCCAAAGGCCAATTGAAACTGCTTTTTAGCAGGGTGGTGGTGGCGCACGCCTTTAATCCCAGCACTTGGGAGGCAGAGGCAGGCGGATTTCTGAGTTCGAGGCTAGCCTGGTCTACAGAGTGAGTTCCAGGACAGCCAGGACTACACAGAGAAACCCTGTCTCGAAAAACCAAAAAAAAAAAAAAGAAAGAGAAAAAAGAAACTGCTTTTTATTTTTTTTTAAACGAGTTAAAACTAAATCAAGGGGTAAACAACCAGCAGATAAAGTTTTAGCCATTTTTTTCTTTTGAACATAAAACAGCAACATTCAATCTGGACATATTGGGGCACCAAGGACAGACAATAGACTGATCGGAAAGAGAACTAGATGTCCTGAGGGGACCCCGATATCCTACCTAAGGGACCCAGAACCAGAACTAAGCATGCTCCAGTAGGAGCCAGAGAGAAGGCAGGACGTCTCCCGACTTCCTCCTGTCCTTAGGAGAGCTCTGGAACAGCTTATATTCTTTTCTCATCTCTTGCCAAAGCATTCTGGACGACTGCTTTTCTCAAACCCATTCTCTCTCATGGCTAGGGTGTAAACTGTCTCTAGTCAGGGTCCAAATACTAAAAGCATCTATGAGAATTACCCTCCCTTTTTTAGATTTTAGCATAACTCGAAACACATACACAAAAACATTTTACCATTACCTTGTCCTTCTACAAGGTTTATTCACTGCTGGCCCAAATCTTTACTTTCCTTTGCATGCGCTTCCAATTCCTGTGGTGTCTTTCACTGGACCCAGCTTACTGGAGCCTCACGTTGACCGCCATCTGACCAAACCAGCTCAGTCAGGCAACAGGTTCTTTTTTTTTTCCGAGCTGAGGGCTGAACCCAGGACCTTGCGCTTGCTAGGCAAGCGCTCTACCACTGAGCTAAATCCCCAACCCCTAGTCAACAGGTTTTCTAGGACAGGAGTGAGGACTAAGCCCTGTGCATACTCCCATGATCACTGTTTCTAAGGGCTTTTCAGGATGACCAAAATATCTGAGCCTACTTCCCTGTCCTAGTCCAAAGTCATTCATGCCTGAAGCCTACTTCCTTGTTCTAGCCTAAGGTTTAGATTCCTGCCTCAAATTACTATCTCGTCATGGTCCAGTGCCAGATTCCTGCAGAGTAGCCCCCAAAAGCTCTCCACAGGAGCTCACAGATACAGAGAACCAACTGTATCTACTTTCACATTTCTTTTATAAAAAATCCTAGTTTCTACTAAGGCACCTTGTTCCTTTAGTTGCCTAAGGAAAGCTAAATTTTAACGGTGCTAACAGTAGGTCTACTTTGCAGGTAATGTCGTTGCCAACTTCTATGTAGTTTAAAAATCACCAAGAACATTGACTTAGGTGAAAAATGTTTTCTTTAGAAACATTTAAGTGTCAAAAACATGAATTAAATCAGTAAAAGTAAAAACAGAATCTGTGGTAAATATTGCTATCACTTTTTTAGTCTAGTGTTTACTGATTTTTGTGGGGTTTTTTGTTTGTTTGTTTGTTTTTGTGGTTTTTTTTTTGTTTTTTTTTGTTTGTTTTTTCGAGACAGGGTTTCTCTGTGTAGCCCTGACTGTCCTGAAACTCACTCTGTAGACCAGACTGGCCTCGAACTCAGAAATCCGCCTGGTTCTGCCTCCCAGGTGCTGGGATAAAGGCATCCGGTGTGTTTGCTGATTTTTAAGAGTTAGACAACCATGGTTCTCTTCTGTTATACAAAGATACACCTTAATATTAGAGGCAAATTTGTGTAGGTGGAGTCTTATGTCTTATACATTTATTTTTTTGTATGTGTGTGTGATTATACATATATGTATAGGTCAGAGCACAACTTTTAAGAATTGATACTATTTTTCTACCCTGTTGGCCTTAGGGGTTGAACTCAGGTCTCATGCTTGTTAGCAAACGAGAGCTTTTACCAACGGGGCTTCTTTCCTCAGCAGCACCCACGCATTTGCTCATGACTGTCTCATGTCTGTCTGTAACTCCAGTTCCAGGGGATCCAGTGCTTTTTTTTTTTCCCAGCCTTTTTAGCCACCAGACTTTTATGTGGTTCACAGTCATACAGGGAGACAAACATTCAAATGCATTATTAAATTTTATAAACCAATAGAGAGATTATAGGTTAATTTTGGCTTCTTTTGCTTTCAAAATCTTTGTAATAAGTGTAATGAAAAAAAAAAAAAGCTGTAGCTGCTGAGTAAGTCTCCAGGTGAATATCTAGGGGTTGCTGTATAGGGTGGTTGGTGTTAGAAGATAATAATATAGGAAAAGTTACTGGTTTACTTTACTCAAACTAGTTGAATGTATTAATGTACTTTCATTTTCATTTTCCTCTTAGGAAGCCATCATACAAATAATGAAAATGAGAAAGAAAATTAGCAATGCTCAGCTACAGACTGAATTAGTAGAAATTTTGAAAAACATGTTCTTACCACAGAAGAAAATGATAAAAGAGCAAATCGAATGGCTGATTGAACACAAGTACATCAGGAGGGATGAGGCGGACATCAACACTTTCATGTACATGGCGTAGCCGAGCTCCAGCCTGCCACAGCCACACATCTGGAGACCTGGGCAGAGATTGTCCCAGTCTGAGCTGGAGGAAGGTTTATTTGGACTTTGATTACATAAATATTAAACTCTGCCTTACCTTACAAAACGACTATATTTTGCCAGTCACATTAGTTAGCATGATGGCATTTCCTTCATGTTGCACACTCTTTTAACAGCATGCTGTTTTGTGGAGAAAATTGCATTCATGAAGAGCCAGCCCATTATGAACTTTCAATGTCAACTCAATTTTTACCCACCTAGAGAAATAACATTTTGGAAGGGTGAGAGTGGGGTTCTTTTTGCTTCTTTTATCCTTTTTTCCTCTTCAAAGGAATATACTTGCACAAGGAAGGATTTTCAGATATTCATGCACTGAGAAATGCTGGGTTTTTTTGTTTGGTTTTGTTTTTTGTTTTTTTTTTTTTTAATTAATGCTAGAGGTAGCACTCAGCTTCTTTTGATGCAAAGAGTGAATTGTCAACACTGTGTTGGGCAAGGGCAGGCGCACTTGAGAAGACATGTGTGCCAGTGTCAAGTTGTTTGTCAAACACTGCTTTCACTTTAGTGACTGAATCTCAATGGTAACCTGAAAATGGTATTAAATATTTCTACCTTACAAATCCTGATTTTCATTGAGCAGGAGAGTGCTGTTTAGTTATTTATTGTTAAATGATAATCTTTAGATTTGGGATTTTCTTTTTAAACCTTATATGGCTGGAGAGCTTGTTTTGAAAACATGAAGTTTATAATGAATGTTGCTTCAGTTAAAAAATTTATGGATATAGGTACATCATTGATTGCAGAATCAGAATCTTGAAGCAAACATTAAGTGTGTTACTAATACACTTAATACTTATACACTTAATATTTATTATACTGTACCTAAATTTGTTGAAAACAATGCAGAAATATTCTGATACAGTACAGTGAGAGAATTGCTTTCTTAACTTGTAGCATAGAATTACTTGGTGATTGAAAGTGTTGTGATTAGGGATTTACCACCTCAGTTTTCTGGAAAGACATTCTCTATTTAAAAGTAATAATTACCTGCCACTTAACAGGAAGAAAGGTGAGATTACGACCTGCAACCTGAAAAGCACTCAGAGTTGTTAGTCTTAACATGAGCAGTAACCTTGCCAAATATGTACATATATATTTATATATTTTAAAAATAAACATTTTTAAAATGTTCAGAGGGCAACACCTACCTTGCTCCTCTCAGTAATCCAGAGCGGTGACTCAGGACTTCATAGAGCAGTGGAAAGTTAGAAATTGAGGACTCAAGCAACTGAAGAGAATTCTTCCCCAGCAGGAAAAATGGCTCCCTGTGGATTTTTACTCATTGTGGTGCACGTTTCAAGTTTTCTTGCAAATTTTAGAACTTTTGATGTTAAGTAGTATTTTGAAGTATGATTCTGAAGCAAGCAGAAAATGGAATGTTGAGAAGCATATGGTATTATTACATCACCACAGTGGGCTGTGGGTCTGCCTGCTGCTGAGCAGCTGTCAGCTCCTGGCTGGAAAGAAGTAAAATGTAAGTTAGATGTTTAAGGTTTTGATAATTACAGTCAAGTGTTGGTTCTGAAACTCACAGGAAGTTGGAAGTGCATGTGTGCTTACTGTCTGCCCTGCAGCTCTGAGGTGATGGTAGAGCAGGTATGAAGAGCAAACCCAGTGCTCGCTGCTCTACAATGTGGATGATGGTACATTCAGAATTCAGAGGGATAGTTTTATAATGACTGTGGCCCTTCTGTTCAGTAGCTTGGTGTTGGCAGATTTTCCTGTCCCAATACCAGAATGCCAAAGGAGGAAACAATCAAGGGAAAAATTTTAGACCATTTCTTAATGTTTAAGATTTGTCATTTTAAACCATAATTTTTCTTAGAACATCTTTGAAATTTCTAATCGCTTTGGTCATTTAAGAATGAGAGCTGTGATGTTTTGATTTATAAAGGCAAACTTAATGCAAAGTGGGTGACACTAAATCCATAGCGAAGTTTTTTATTAAATTTTTATACATTTTTTAATAGTTAATTATGTCCTAATTGTATTTTGGGGGATGAGCAACAGTAAATACCACAGACTTAACAGTTTTCATCCTTTTTTTAAAATATATATACAAAAGTGTAACCACTTTTTGGTGTTTATCAAAACTATTTAGTTGACAAGGTGCCTATACCATTGTTGAGATTTTCTTTAGATGTTTTATGAATAGATTTGATAATTAAAAAAAATCCTAAAACAGATCTTAAGTAGGAGCTTTCTGAAGGTCCAGAACCACTGACAGTGTTCCCTATCTGACCTCTCTTCTCCCTGCAGTCTTCATATTCTTGCTATCTAAGCAGAGCCAAACATGTCACAGGTGAGGGGAAGGAAAGCCCAGCTCCCACTCAACACCAGAAAGGCATTTTTAAGTGAAGGTGTGGCAGGCTCAGAGATTTGAGCACTTTTGTCTACCTAAGGTGGCACCATCTATAAATGCTAACCTTTCGCCATCTCAAGGCCAGAGTACAGAGACAGGGAACAGATTCACCCAGTGGAAAGGGTAGACTCTTGGATACACAGTTAGAGAAATGTGAGGCCATCATCATTTGAATTTTATAAGGATCCTCAACTAAATTCTGAAGTCTCCCAATTTTTACAATTATTGGAGGAGATCCCTGAGTTTACCAGCCTGTTCATTGAAAGCTCTTACTCTTTGTGCATAAATATTAAAGTCTCCAAAAAGGTGAAATGTTAACCATTCTTTTTTTTTTTTAACTCTTCATTAAATTGAATATGTTATCATTAGCTCTGCTCCAAGGGCAAATTTTTCAAATTGAATCTGGGTGAAATATTTGCTAGTTTACAGAAAGATTTGCTATTATAAACTCAAGCTGGCTCTTCTGTTTTTGTGTGAATGACTGGGATGCTGCCACAGTTTTCCCAAGGTCACAGTTCTGAGAGAAGCATTGACAGAGTTCCTGTCATCTACACTATGTGTGGTCTGGAGTTCCTAAAGTGTAGTCTCTTGTCATGACCTGTACAGTTTTGAATGTGCACCACTACATACTGAGATGACACTGTACAGTTTTCCACGGTAGCAGTTTCTGTATGCAGTAGGCTGAAATATTTTGATGAACCGCTTAATTTTTGGATTTTATTTTTTAAGTTGTATAATTTATTTTCTTGCAAAATAAAGGTGTAATATAAAACATTTCATCTATCCAGAAAATCTTGATGTTTTACGTAACATAAAAATTTTTACAACAGTTAAAATTTTTGGCAAGCCAAGGCAGTATCATGTATCTTTAATCCCAGCATTCTAGAGACAGAGTCAGAGGATCTCTGAGTTCAAGATCAGCCTGGTGTATTGGCAAGTTCCAGGCCAGTTAGGGCTAGCCTGTCTTTAAAATCAATAAAAATGGTTTCAGTTGGGGAGGGCTGCATCTTGTCATCCAGCTGCTTGGGAGGATGTGGTAGTTGATTGTTCAGGCCCAGCTCAAGACTGACATGGACAAGCATAATGGGACCATCTCAATGAAGAACATTTTGTTATGTGTTGGGTTATAGTAGTAAATTGTATCCACCATGAAATAAGACATGACAGTTGGGTGAATGAATACATGGCTTCCTAAAGGCTAGAACTTTTGCCTTCACTGGGACTGGGGGAGTTGAGGAATAGGGGTGACTGGGAATCGAAGCCACAAAAAAGCAGAAGGTTAACCTGAACCAAACCAAGATTAATAATTAAGCTTAGAGTTTAGGCTCCTTGCACAAATGCATTCTAAAGATTTGGCAAATCCTGCCCGAGGCATTTTGATATAGTATCTTAATGAGGAAAGCACACCCCCACCACCCAAGGAAACAGTAGTCTTTATAGTGAGCTAAATTAGAAAGTTAACTTTCTTGTTCAGAGCCCAGATTCATACAGACAAGAATGGAGTCTAGAGACAGGCAACATTAAAACAGCTGGGTGTGTCTAAGACAGACATTACTATTATGAAAGAACTTGCATGAAATAAATAGAGGTCACTGACAATAGGTTTAAAACAAAAGTATAGTATGTAGTAATACACTTCTAATATCCCAGCACTTGGGGAGTGGAAGCAGGAGAATCAGGAGCTCAGAGTCCTCCTTAGCTGTGTAAGGAGTTTGAAACCAGCTTAGACTACAAGATGACAAAGACCAAGCTAAAGGACCGACAGAATGGCTCAGTGGGTAAAGACATTTGTTGTGAAGCTTGGTGACCTGTGTTCAGTCCCCACAACCTTTGTAAGAGTAGGAAAGAATCCACCCTACACAGTTGTCATCTGTCTCCACAGCTGCCCTGTAGCATGTGTGCCTTAAAGACTAACAATAATACAAACTTAGATGATTTGGGAATTTATGGATAGAAATGACATAAAGTCATTTCTAAAGAATATAAAGATAACACCTTTCACCAAACAACAGAATCCTGGTAATATCTAGTGTGCTAGGCTAAGATGTTAATCTATTTGTTTTTGCAAGACATCGATTTCTACATAGTCCTGGCTGTTCTGGAACTCACTCTGTACACCAAGCCAGACGTGAATTCAAGAGATTTCAGCTGCGTCTTCTCCCTGAGTCCTGGGAAAAAAATGTGTGTGCTACAACACCTGGCTTAAATTTTGTTTTTGTTGTTTTCCCACAAAATTTTCAGGGGCTTGTGACTGAGCAGTTAAGAGCATTTGGTGCCTTTTCATAGGTCCTGGGTTTAATTCCCAGCACCCACCTGGTGACTCATAACTATCTGCAACTCCAGTTTTAAGGATCCTATGCCCTTTTTCTTCCTCTGTGGCCACGAGGCATACATTTGGAGGATAGATATGCATGTAGGCAAAACACTCATGCATATCTTTTTTTTTTTAAAATCACAGAAGTCTCAAATAATGGTGAGCTTCAAGGTCTTAAAAAAATAGCAATATCGAAGTCACAGAAATCAAGGCAGAAATCAAATGGAGAAGCTAGACAGGTGTTACATGGCTAGACTCCCAGTACAGGGGAGACTGAGGCAGTAATCACTGCAAAGTCAAGGCTAGCCTGGTCTACAATGAGTTCCAAGCCAATTAGGGCTGTGCAACAAAACCTTGTCTCAGAAAAAGACCAAAAAAATCTAGTAAGTAGAAACAGAAAAAGAACAAAGAACCAATACAATAGCTTTTTGAAAAGAAAAATAAACAAGAATGACAACCTCCAGCTGAATTAGCCAAAGAGGAAAAAGAATGCAAATTAATAAAATTAGAGCTGAAAAGAAATATTACAATAATGTTGGGACCACTTGGAAAGCTTATATTCCATCAAATTAGAAAATCTAGAAAAAATAAGTTTATAGACAACTATGACCTGCTAAAGCTAAATCAAAAGGGCAAACATAACAATGAGATTGAAGTAGTAAGGAATATGATCTTTGTGTCTGAGTACCCTTGGCTGTCTTGGAACTGGCATTGTAGACCATACTGTTCTTGAACTCAGATCAACCTGCCTTTGCCTCCCAAATGCTGAGATTAAAGGTGTCCCCCACCATGACCAGCACAGTGGGTGAAGGAGCTTGCTACTAATCCTGTAACCTGAGTTTGATCCCAGGGTACTATGTTACGAAAAGCAAGTTTTCTTCTAATCTCCACATTCATGCTTTAGGACATTCATCCCTTCTTTGACAATTAGACACACTCCAAAACAAACAAACAAACAAAAAAACAAAAACTACAACAACAAAACAAAACAAAAACCCATGTTGAAGATGTGTAGGCTCCTTATACAAGGCCGTTCCAAAGCTTTGGCAATCACCCAAGGCATTTTGATTTAGTGAGTATCTTAATTACGAAGGCACACCCACACATACAGTAGGCTTCATAGTGAAGATGTCACTTAGTAGAATACTTGTCTAGATTATATGAAGCCCTGGGTTCAAAACCCACCTGTATTCCCTGCAATCCAAAGGTGGAGGTGGGAGGAGTATAAATTCAAGGTCATCTTGGACTACCTAGTGGGATTGAGAGTATCCTAGGCTACATGAGACTCTGACTTAAAAAAAAAAATGGGGCTTATGGCCCAGCAGTTAAAATACTAGCAGCTGTTAGAGAGGACCTGGGTGCAGTTTTCAAAACATATCTGACAGTTCCCAACTACCTATAACTTCAGTTCCAGGGGTTTTGACAACCTCTACTGCCCTCTTCAGGCACCTGTATGCACTTCGTTCATGTACACAAAAGAAAGAACATACACATACACACACTTTACCCCAAAAGGGGCTGGGAGGATGACTCAGTGTGCAAATTGCATGCTTCACAAGCAAGAGTTTAGATCATCAACACCCATAGAAAAAGCTAGGCATGAGGGCCCTTGATTGTATTCCCAGTGCTATGGATGGGGTTGGAAGTGAGGGAGCAGAGATGGTGGCTTATTAACTAGCTGCTTTAGTGAGCTCCAAGTGCAAGGATAGATAGACCCTATCTCAAAATAAACAACACAGCAGATAGCCACAGAGGAGGTTATCTGATGTTGACCCTTGACCTACACAAGAATGCACACAATTACATAAAACAGGTTGGCTTGAAGTAAATTGTTCAATTTGTATGTTGTGGTGTCTTTTGTTTTACATAAAGGAAAATTAATGTTACAAGTCAGAAAGATCTGCTATCCCCAACTGAAGAGTCAAAATCAGCAAATGGGCTGGGCATAGTGCTTTTAATCCTATCGATAAGGAGGCAAAGACAGAGATCTCTGTGAGTTCAAAGCCATCCTGATCTACATAGTGAATTCCAGAATATCCAGAGCTACACAGTGGGACCCTATGTAAAAACTAAGCAAACAAAACCCAAACAAAACAACCCGCCCCAACTAACCTTAGCAATGTGTTCCACAAATATGAGAATTTAACGTATCAGTTAATACATAGAGGGTTTTTGTTTAGTTTTAATTTTTCAGAGACAGGGTCTTCCTTTGTAGTTTTAGTTGTTCCGGTACTTGCTATGTGGACCAGGCTGGCCTTCAACTCATGGAGATCCACCTGCCTCTTTCCTGAATGTGTGCTCCCACACCCAACCTACAGGAAGTTTCTCTGAAAGTTGATGTAATCTTATCACTCAGTGAAGTTTAGATAGTAATAAGTATTTTACTTAGCATCCTACAAAAAAAACTTCAAAATTCTCTTAACATAAGTAATTGGTTTATTTGTATTATAAATGAATATAATTGGAATTGCTGGAAACGGTTACCAATATCCTTTGTCTAGGTAAATACAAGTCACACGGTCAGGCGCAGTTGAGTGAATGGAAAGTCTTGGACTGTACAGAAATAACAGGCATCAAGAGATTAAAAGCGGTTTAGGCTGCACCAGCCAGGTGTCAAGCCACGTGGTAATTCATTAGTCCATTTTTTTTGTCCCTGCGAGCCTCGGCTTGTCCTCCTGCCAAGCCCCAGGCCCCGCCCCCTGGCTACGGGCCAATCGCCGCCGAGCGTAGCGATCTTGGACTGCTATTGGAGGAGAGGGCCGGGGCGGTGCCCGCCACGACGTCGCGGGGTCTGCGGTGGGAAGTGGAGGTCGCGGCGCGTCTTTCTGCCCTTGACTGCCTTTCCCGTCTCCATGGCTGCCTTGGTGACTCTGCAGGGCGTCGTCCGCAGGCCTCTGCTTCGCGGGCTGCTGCAGGTGAGCAGAGTCGATTCGGGGTGGGTCGGGTTCCGGGGATCCTCACCGGCCACAATGCTCAGCATGAGCTCCTCGGGGGCGAGTGTTCCTCGGGGTCGCGGTCGTGTGTTCGCCTGTCTGTGCTGCAGTCGTACTCCGAGGCTTGGGCCTGGCCAGGCGCGATCTCAGGCTTCAGAATGCTGAGTCGTTTAAAGAATGCTTGTGACCTTGTGATTTTTTTCTTTTTCTTTTTTTCTTTTCTCTTTGTTTTGGGGGGGGGGGGTTAGGTGGGTAGTTGATTTGGGGTTTGGGTTTTGGTTTGTATTTTTGATATAGGTTTTTCTTGGTAACGCTGGCTGTCCTGGAACGAACTAACTCATCTCTCTCTGTCTCTCTCTGCCTCTCTCTGCCTCTCTATGCTTCTCTATGCCTCTCTCTCTCTTCTTCCCACTCCCACCCCCAACCCCCAGGCTGGCCTCGAACTCATTCGCTTTCCCCTGCCTCCTTAGTGCTGGAATTAAAGGCGTGCACCACCACCTGGCTAATCATTGGTTTAATTTTTGGTC